ATAACTTTGGGAGCAGCACCACCTATTGGTGAAAAGTGATAAATCATTGAATAATATTTCTAGTGATTGTATTTATGATTTTATTTTAGCCTTTTTGGATAAAATCATCTTAAAATGTCTATAATTACTCAATGGTCTTTAAACGCTTGAACCCCGGTAATTGCTGCTTGCACCTATATTTTTAAAAGGAAGTTGCTAAAGGCAGGTTGATTTGTTGCTAAAAGTTGCTAAATGACATTGAAATGTCAATGTGCGATGACGTCTTTATGAAACAAAAACATAAAATTTTGTCATTGCTTAGAATACACAATGAGATTACCCAAAGTGGCTTGCCATCTCAGCGAAAAATGAGATTTGAAATATGTTAATTTAGATTTGTTCGTAAAAGTAATATACACATAATATTTGTAAAAGTAATATAAACACAACATTGAATTATTGAACAGTTGCACATTCTTAAACAATTACATTTAATGTATTTTCATATTAAATAGTACAACTACATATTCTGAACAATTATAGTTTTAGTATAATAGTATATAGTATATTGGTAGTTAGTTAATATACTATACTTTAAGAAAGGTTTGTAAAAATATGGCACATTTACTGTGTCAATATGAAAGAATTTTCCGTATTGATTTTTATTCAATACGGAAGAGTTTTACTGTATTTTTAATTTGCATTTTGTTGCATAGTTACAGGAAATGTTTGTAAACTTAATAGATAATGTCCTGGCAGAAAATTACCAGTACCTTTTCCATTTTTCTACACATTTGTTTATTTTTTACAGTGTACCTAACTGATCAACAATTATAGGTACAAGTTAAAAACAAAGTGAATCATAAATTATTATTGAACAATTGCAACTAGCAGCGTAATTCAAACATGTTGCGTGAACTCTTTCCAGGCTGATGTGCTACTTGGCTGGCAAGCTGTTCAATGGTTTCCTCTTTTTGTGTAATTTAGAGGTAAAATGTGCCTTTTTATCATTTGAGTCACTTTTTAAAAGTTGCTAAAAGCTGTCAAATAAAAAAAAAAAAAAAAGGCTAAATTTGTTGCTATATACGTGCAGAGTTGCCAAATCTAGCAAAAAAAAAAAAAAAGAAAGAAACTGCTAAATTGGCAACACTGCCTACTGATTCTTCATCCTTAATCTTTTCAACATTTGCATGAAAGTTCAACCAACCTGGACAAGGTTCAAACAACCTGAAACCACTACAAACACACTAGATGAGCTTTGGCATGGTTAATGACGAAAGAAGGCTAAGAAGAAGAACAACCATCAGAAACAGACACAGACACAAAGCCGAGTAACAAATTCACCTGAGAAACAACGCAGGTTAAAAGCACCTGTGATTCGAGGATTTGAAGATAAAAGTTAAGAAGGTACAAGAAAAGAGAAACAGAAATGGTAAGAGATGTCTTTGAAGAACTTACAGCTTCCAACACATTTCCATTTCACTCCAACATATTTGCACACACTGATGCACAGCTCTCATATTTATATTAATTTTTAAATATGCATTTTCTGATAAAAGAACTTCAACAAAAAGCAACTCTGTCTTACAGATTATCCTGGCCACTATTCTGATATTGATGTGTGTCAGTGTCATTGGCACCAAAGACGGTGAGTATTAAGACCTGCCCTATGGACTGTCAGAAATATTTTCTTAAATGTGATGTTTGGGATGCATTATAGTATATTTGTTAAAAGTGATGTTACAGCATATCCTGGGCACACCCGCTGAAGACTGTGACACAATTCACTAAAAATTCATTTCTCTCTCTCTCTTGGTCTTCCTATTTTTTTTCCTTCATTCTTTTAGGGACTGAGATGAATTGTATTCCAGTGATCAGAGTGCCACGAAACACAGTGTTTAGAGCTCCAGTTATGACCAAGTTGAAGATAAACTGTACTATAACTCTACATGGATGTCACAGGAACCCAAGTGTCTCATGGTGCAAAATGAATGGAAATAACTGTAAAGCTTTAAATTACTCACTTCATATAAGAACTGAGTGGAAGAGCATCACAGAACATGAATGGGTGGCTTTCCTGATTTTCCTGAACATCTCAATGGAGGACACAGGTTCCTACAGATGTAAAGGTGGTGACACATCTGTAAGCCATACTATTAATGTCACTGTGACAGGTAAGAGACATTATCTTTAGATTCACTGGTAAAATGCATTCAGACATTTTGTTGAATACAAATATTTAAATACTTTATTATATTCACTAGATAAAAATGAGGATGAGGTGTCACGCAATCAAAGCAACACACGTAAGGGCATGAACATTACAATTCATGACATTACTGGGAACATTTTGCTTGGACGAATGCATCTTCATATGTTGATATGAACCTATGATAATGACAACAACTATAAAATATAATTGTATTCATTTCTTTCAATATTAGGTGATCTAAATTCAGGTGCAAAGGATGATCTTCAGTGGCTATGGCCATATGTGTTCATCTGCAGTGGAGTGGGGCTGGTCTTCATAGTTATGACTGTATCATTTCTTTATGTCATTAGACACCAAGGTGAGCGATTCGAGTGTTTAAACTAAACATCACAGTTGCTTTAAAATCATACTAGTTTTGTGTTTCCTTGGATAATCCTATGCAATATTTTAGGAAGAAAATCTACAAGAAAAGATAAGGCAAATAAAAATCAGGTATCTTTTGTTTTAAATATATCTGTGGAACTATTTATTTGGTTACAGAATGTCAGCTTTCAGATAATATAAGTCTGCTTAAATGTAGGTTGCTTTAACGAGTATGATTCACTAGAGTTCGGCTAAGAAAAAAAAATGCTTCACTAAAATATACCGTCTATAATAAATAAGGCATTTAGTGTTGAAAGTGTTGTGATTAAATGTTTGTTTTTATACTGTTACACTGAATATCAGTTATATTAGAAGACGTTGACTCAGATTCGTCTGTGATTCAGACAGAGGGAACACTGTTGTTTGGTCAGGGAGAACATCTGAACATAGCAGATGTAGGTTACTTTTAACGAGTATGATTCACTAGAGTTCGGCTAAGAAAAAAAAATGCTTCACTAAAATATACAGTCTATAATAAATAAGGCATTTAGTGTTGAAAGTGTTGTGATTAAATGTTTGTTTTTATACTGTTACACTGAATATCAGTTATATTAGAAGACGTTGACTCAGATTCGTCTGTGATTCAGACAGAGGGAACACCGTTGTTTGGTCAGGGAGAACATCTGAACATAGCAGCATTTCCTTTCATTTCAGGCAGCCTGAAGAAAGAAAAAGGAAAAAGAAATGTGTTAACGTCCTAGAATTACAAAGCAAAAGCCTTCTTCAACAACAAAAAGTGTTCAATCCAATCCTACAACTCCTGCAGCTAATGTTTTACTTAATGTTCTCCATCTTGAGTTGATACAAGGCTGGGTTGAATGGTAAACAATGTTCCTTTATTGTTCCAGTTGAGGATTTTTCCTGTCTCTCATGAGATTGCATCAATACTGAAACAGAATGAAAAATAAACTATGTTTACAGCTTAACTACTGCTGCCTGGGTCATTCCTACTTTGTGGTACATCTTCATGTCTCCATCAAATAACTAACTCTTACAATAATGGGTAACATGGAAGTTAGTTAGTCTTTTATCATAATAGCACATACTTTTAAAACATGATGGTGAATTTAATCATTTTGTTCAAGAAGATGTGACCATTTCCCCATGTCCCCATGGTGCTTCCAATATGAAAATCTGGATTTTTAACAAATATTCCTTGTGTTTATTTCCCTCCCTCTCTCTATGAAAACATTATTTAAAATGAAAAAAAAAAAAATTGTATTCAGCATTATATACCGCATAAACATGGGCAAGTCTATTTATAGAGTATAATTCTGGTCTGTTATACAATTAAAATATTTCTTTAAAGCATATTAATTTTTCTAAATTTTACAGAGGTCAAAATATGCAGAATAATAAGATCAGTTTACCCCTTTCTCTCTGTTTAGACAAACTAGTAAATTCTCAACTAAACAAGTTACTACAAATAGTCCAACTCAAACCGACTGAGCCAGAGGTTTACCTCTCACACGCAGAGCAGTGTTTTGACAAACACCACAGAGCCACAATGTTTCCACTGCTCCGAGAATATATGACAAGCTCTGCAAAATACACTAAGATGAGAAAAGGTTTTAGATTCCAATACTGGAAAAAAATAAATAAATAATGCCCCTAGTGAGCAAGTCAAAGGGGACAGTGGCAAGGAAAAGCTCAACAAATATGTTTACATAAAGAGGGAGAAAAATCATGGGAGGAAACAGGCTCGAATGGGGGAGCTCATCCTCCTCTGGAAACTTCAGACAAATGTGACACTCAACATTTAAGGAACAGCAACACAGTTTTGGGCTAAATGGAATGTAGCGTTCATTTCTAAGGGGCCAAAGGGTTTAAAAGTCAATATTAACATTTAAATTCTTTCTTCAAGCACATTACATGTCTTATTGTGAATGATTCATCAGAGCTTGTTATTGCAAATAAAAAATGTTTCTTTATAATCTTTATAATCTCAAAATACAACAGCCAAATAGCTCTGTAGACATCACTCTCACTCCATTCTGTATTAAACATTGAACATTTTTCATGATTTAATCAAGTCCTAATGAATAAAATAATGTCCCTTCCCATTTTTTTCTTGTTCCCATTTATTTCCCGTTTCACTCATAAATAATTCCCATCATAGAAGTAAAATGAGTTGTGAGCGCAATTCACATTGACTCTGTGTTTGTCACACTTTTTTTTTTCTTCCCTTGACTCTGTAAGAAGCACTTTAGATATTAAATGGTCATGGTATAAGATGGGCTTCTTGCAAGAGACAGGAAGTGGTAACACCTTAGACTTCTTGTGGCTCAGCACATAAACGGGGCTCTGTAAAAACATACTTCACCCTTGGCTATTGTTTCACTATAATCTTTGCTACTATACTTTTTTTTAAATTTTTTATCTGACAACAAAACATATTTTAGTGCAACTTTCTGAAGCAATAAGCTTCAAAGCAGAAATCACAACTGAGCAGAAGAAATTTAGGACCACTTCACTGATTAGAAGTCATGTGTTTAGTGCAGTAAAGAGCAATAAGAGGACGACTCAATGAACACAACGTGAACAGAATGATCTGACTTCCCGTATGTGTGACCTGAGGCACTTTTTTTTTTCACTCCCCGAGGCCTCTTGTGCAGATCTAGCTGCCTTGGTTTAAACAAATATGAAATGCTTTTTTCCTTTTTTGACCCTCTCGGGTGACCTGCAGATTCTAAGGGAGGAAAGTGGAAGAGAATGAAGCAGGAAGAAAGACTTGAATAAAGAAGACAGATTGTGTGAAGTGAGAGGTTAGTGAGTCATTCTGGCGTCTCCCTCTCGATTTCCGGCTATACATTTCTCCAGTAGCTGTTTTTATCAACTCCTCTCTAAAAGGTTTCTGGGGTATTTAATTACAATAGTGCAGTCTTTAACTTTAGGGTGAAACACAATATATCACATCTAAAAATCTAAATGTATATTTACATATTATATTATATTATTGTAGGTATATTTTACTATTTTCATAATTATTTTTTACTATTTCTATATGGAAATGTAATATGACATATGGCCTATCAAGAGTGATATTGCCATACATTGCATATAAGGCAATATATCATTTTTTGTACACATTCACAGGGTGGATGAGGAAGTTTATAACAAATATAAAATCCCCATAGCAAAATGTGTATATGTATATATGTTAATAATATCTATATGATTATTTTTACATTTTATGCAACTTCATTAAAACAACATATGGGAATCTGTATGTTTATATATGTTTTTGTAATTTTTTTTTTTTTAAATGCATGTGTATCTTTTATATTTACTTATATAACATCAACATAGGTTTTAGGATTACATAATATATGATCAAATGTATTACACAGACTAGATACGTTAATATATGAAATTGTTCAAATGTCTAATAGGTTAATATGTCTTACTACATATGACAATATATTTCATACGTGGAAATTTAATGTATGTACACATTTTACATTTGTGTATGGGTTATATCGATATGTTTTAACGTGGTGACCTGACATACTTCTGTCCCCAACAATAAATGAAAAGCTTGATTTTACTTCCAGCACAGTAATGCGCTTGTGATCATCAAATTTCAAAACTATATTTACTACATGTATTATTATTTATTACATTCACATTTATTTAGAACTTGTTGTTTCAGTTAGTGTCAAAAGCCAAGAGTTTAAAAACCAAATATTTACAGTTTTACCCCAAGTAAACCCTTTTTTCTTCCTGTGCTTTTTCTTGCATACAAACTTCTACATTCTTTCATGTGTACACCCTTATACTGAAAACTTATTATAAGCATGGATCCGACAGCCTTTATTTTACATTTTATATAAACATTATTTAATAAATACTTTGTAAATTATTATAAAAACTGAACAGGCCCTGGGATTAAGCATTAAATTAATGTGAAACACAATATTAAAGTGGACAGACATTTTGTGGTGCTACTGACCATATCAGCAGGTGAAGTTAGCACCTCTTCAGGCAGATACACAGACATATGAGCAGCACAAGGGCCACACAGCTGGCTGAAATGGGAATGACATGGAAGTTCCTATCTGCAATATATAAAAAAAACACACACATATTAACTAAAAAAAAAATCAAATATTAACAACAGTCTAGAAACAAAACCATCAAGGCATAACAGGACAAAAAGATCAAGTTGAGTACGTTTCACTCACATTTATTCAGAGACACATAGATTGCAGACTCAAGGCCTTGGTGACGAACTTCACACTTCACAAGTTCATCGTCCAGTAGCTCAGCCTGCATTTGAATGGAACTGACCACCATTGTGGTGCCGTCCCCTAGCTGGTAAAATGATGTGACAGCAGGGCCCATTGTTTGATTATGACCCTCCACGTTCCAGGAGATCTCTGCTGCAGGACGTGACACGGCTGAGCAGTTCGCCTCAACAATGTCCTCTGATACGGTGACGTAACTTGCCTCAGGTTTGGGTAGGACTAGGAAAATGACATGAAGTTCATTATGTAATTAGTGTATATAAGACATTAACATTATGTTCTTTTTAACAGAGTGACGATTTTTAAAATATGACTGTAAATCAGTTAAGCACTTCACTTGAATTCATTTCATGATATGACACTTAAATAATTACATTAATCACATATCAGTATATTTGCTGGGAAAAGCCCTCAAATCAACGTAACTAAAAGACACTGAAACACTGAATCGACATTATAAAAGGTGAAATATCTTGAATATAAAAGCTTGAGTATAATTAAGCAAATGTGGGCTAGGGTGAATGACACCCACATATTTTCTGTACTTATGAATAAAATTAATGTTAACTTAAAATAGAATAAACATACAGTATTATTTATTTATTTAGTTTAGGGACCAATGCTCACTATTAACTCACTGTAAAAAAATTTCACCCCTTTCAACTTAAAAACGTAAGTTTTGTGGCTGCCTTAAAATTGTAAGTTAAATCAACTTAAAAGTACAAGTCATTTCAACTCACTAATTTAAATCTTGCCTAGTGCTGAATTGTTTTATTGAAGTTCATTTGACTTTACAATATTTGCTGTTTCAACTTAAGTTCAAAATTTTTAACATTAATTTTCTAGTTATGATAATGTAAACTTTATTTTAGATCCAGATAAAAAAAAA